TGTGATTTCTTCAGTTGTACATCTTGCGTGTCCATATTTATATCTGATGATTGGCCATATCAATCTGTTTAGAAAATTCTTTTTTTTCCCCCATCTTGCCCAGCATTGCTTTTTTTTTACCTTTCAATTTTTTTGTATTTTTTATTCATTTTAAACTTAAATACAAAATGTGAAAAGAAAAAAAGAAAGAACATTGCCATGTGCACAGCAAAACACAAGAGAGGATTCAATACAAAACAATAACTTTCCATTTCAAGAAAAGCTATAGAATAAATCCTACACATTGTTTTCTGAGCTACCCAGCTTTTCTTTGTTTCCCTGTAGGTCTTCTTTTGTTCTCTGCTGTGCACTTTTTACTTTTTCTCTCCTCATCCCCAATCCCTGCTCATCACCAATTTTAAAGGCACTGTGGTATAGTGGATAGTGTACTATACTTTGAGTTAAGAATGTTGTTGTTCAGTCATTTCAGTCATGTCCAACTCTATTTAAGGTTTTCTTGGCAGAAATACTGGAGCAGTTTGCCATTTTCTTCTCCAGCTCATTTTATAGATAAGGAAACTGAGGCAAACAGAGTTAAGTGACTTGAGCAGGGTCACCTACCTAGTAAATATCTGAGGCTGGATTTTGAACTCAGATCTTTCTGACTGCAGGCCAGGCTCTCTGTGAGTTGGGAATACCTGGGTTCAAATCCCATATCTAAAATCTACCAGCTATGTGACCTTGGTCAAGTCAGTGAGCTTCAGTTTCCTCACTTACAAATATTTGGAGTTGGGCTAAATGACCATCAAGTTCCTTCCAGCTCTAAATCTCTGATCCTTAACTCATGACTACTCCACTACAATTGAATTTTATGAATCAAAGTGTGCAAACAATGCACTATGCACAAGACTTTATGGCAGAATTCTGCCACTTTAGCTTTCCTGTAAGGTAGTCATCTCACTATCAATCAGCACTGCCTTCAAGCCAAACTGGGTGGCTTGAGTCTCAAGGGCGAGAAACGCAGAAGGCAGCACTACTCATACTCTAGGATTAGGCTAGCGGCTGGGCCTTCAGGTGTTTTGTTTGTTTATTTATGCTTTTTAAGCTATGTATGTTCCTTATGTTATTTACCAAGTAATTTGATTGATATTTTACTTCAAAATTACTAAGGTTGCTTATATTTTCCCCCATTGATTGTCTTATCACAAGGTCCTCATATTTTTTTCATCAGCTGTTTAACAATACACACATATTTTTTACTTCATCATTTCATACAGTTTCTTTTTTCATTTTTGAAAGAAAAAACAATTTACCCAAAACAGCACAATCTCAAAGTGGAAGCTTAAAACAAAATGGAATCAGTTGTACTAAGTTGGCAAGCATTCCTACAATATTACTGAAGTACTAAATTTATTCTCACTATGCAAGGCTTATGATGTCTCATAGTAGGTGCTTAAAACATGTTAGCTTGTTTCACAACCACTGTTTCCTTAATGGTCAGACTCTGATCCAAAATAACAGTATCTTTCATGCATAATGTACTGCATGCATAAGTCAAGAAGTCATTCAAGTGCTCTACTTTTCATGGAAACTTCTATGAGATAGCCTCAGATAGTCAGTCTCCCATTACAGCTCCATATTGATTTCATGTGAGCTTTGTGATTTATATTAGATATTTGTTGTACAATTCCTCCAGTTGTCTGATGGGCTATTATATATGATCATTACTTTTTCACCTGTTTCTCTCTTTTTATGCTTACCAAGATGGTTGCTCTCTGTAATGCCTTTCTATAAAGTTAATGGATTTTTAGAGAGATCTGTTTTCTTCGTGTTCAATGACATCCCATTTCTTCTCTTCACTAATCTGTTTCTCTTGAAAAAGATATATTTCACCTTTGTCATTTTCTAGTCACAAATCTTCCATGAATAGTGTCTGTACCAATACTGACCTACTCTAGTTCCTATCCTTTGCCTTCAGGTGGCTGTTTTCTACATCCTCAGTAATTGGCTGAGCTAAGAAGAAAGATTTACTCTGGGATCAATGGATATGGCAATGAATATCACTTCTTTTAGCTAGTAATCAGACTACTTTTCTCACTTCTGGCTTGCTTTATTCATATGGCTTATCCTAACCCTTTCACATCCACTCTAACACTGCTACCACCACCACCCATCCAGCTCTAGACCATGGGTTATGTATGGTTCACTACAACCCAAGCTTGGAGCAGAGTTAAGAAGTCCCTTAAATACAGTTTATAGAAAGAAACTATTCTGCCTAGCCCATGGGTCAGAGACCAGCAAATGAGAAAAAAGAATCTGCAACTTATATCTTTGAAAATCTTTTCAAGTCAACGATTTCCCATCTGGCTAGAAAGAGTTAATATACAATATAGGCCTTGCTAAATAGCTTTCTTTGTCCAAAGTTTAGTTTGCATGTGATTTGAGAATTCAGGAAGTTACATTTTCTGACTTCTGCACAGAATTACTTCCTCATTTGTCAATAAGAATTTAAATAGCATAGACCACTTTACAAAGAGGTTCACAATAGTCTGAGCATTTCTTGTCTTCCTAGTTGACATGGTATAGGTAGTGTGTATTCAGTCATTTTTCAGTCATGTCTGACTCTTTGTGACCCCATTTTGGGTTTTCTTGGCAAAGATACTAGAGTGGTTTGCTATTTCCTTCTCTAGCTCATTTTATACATGAGAAAACTGAGGCAAACAGAATTAAATGATTGCTTAGATTCACCCAGCTAGTAAGTGTCTGAGGCAGAATTTGAACACAGGTCATCTTGAGTCCAAGTGCAGTGCTCTAGCCACTGCACCACCCAGCTGTGTGGTATAGGTAGTATCATTGCCCAAACTAAGACCTAAATGACTTTTCTCCTCTCACACCATGTGAAATTTAATACCCTCCTGAAGAACCCAAGAGGTCAGCAATTTATTTGTTTTCATGTTTATTAGACTTTTAGACAAGATCTAATACAATTTTAAAACATTTTTTTATTTATTTTGTTGTGTCACCTAAATCCCTTACCCCAATGTCTCACAGAGAAATGAATTCTTTTAGAAACATATTTTTTTTAAAAGAGGAATTAAGAGTTCAGCAAAACTAAACAATATATCAAAAAATTCTGATATCATCTGTACTGTTACATAGAACTCATGGTCCTCTACCTCTGCAAGAAAGTTGGGGGAAGTATCTCTTCATATCTCTTTTTTGGAAACAAGCTTCTCATCATAACAATTTTGTGACATTCCATTGGTGTCATTACTTTTGTTCTTTCTATTAACAGTATTTTAGTCATTATGCATTTTATTTTCCTCATTCTGCTTCATTTACATTGGCTCATATAAGTCTTTACATGCTTCTCTATATTGATAATAATTAGATTTACTTACAGCACAGTCATATTTCATTGCATTCATGTGCTGCAATTTCTTTGCCTATTCTCCAACTAATGGAGATCCACCTTGTGGCCAAAACTTTGTTGCCACAAAAAAAGCTGCTATAAATATATTGGTATATGTGTGCCCTTTATTTTTTCCCTTTAACTTCCTTGGTATATATGCCCACCACTGGTATATATGCGTAGCACATGTTTACTTAAAAGGCAATTTTACAGAGAACTCACATAAACCAAGCACTCACAGGGAGGTCAGAAGAAGTGATACAAAGACAATCTCAAGGTCTCTCTGAAGAACTTTGGAATTGATTGAATACCATGGGAAACACTAACACCCCACTTGGCTTGCTCACATCAAAGAAGTACTGTCCTTTATGAACAAAGCAGAATTGCAGTAGCTCAAAACAAACACAAGATTCACAAACTTAGAAATATCTCCATTCCAGATGTTCATGTGTACTATTTGTGCCTGTCCTTTGATAGATTCTTCCAAGCTCATATTGGTCTGATCAGTCACAGTTGGACACACTGTACCTTGAGTGATTGATATAATGAAGCCAAATTTGGTCCTTTTCAAGAATGAAGGACAACAACCAATTAACTAGTACTGGAGGCTCTGGATCCATGAGCATGGTCATTTTAGTCACTTAATTTGAATAATCCAAAAGTGCTCTCCAAAAAAGCTGGACTAATTCACATCTTGACCAACAATGCATTAATGTGTCCATCTTTCCACAATCCTTTCAATATTGCTTATTTGCATTTTAATAACTTTTATTAATTTTATGGGAGTGAGGGAAAACCTCAAGGATCTTTAGCTTTGCATTTATCTTATCATTGATTTGGAACATTTTTTTTAATGTGGTTATGAATAGTTTGGATTTTTCTTTGGAGAACACCTTAACCAATTTTCCAAAGGAGAATGCTTTTAGTCTCACATATTTCTATTGGTTACCTACATATCTTGGATATCAGATCTTTATTAGAAATATTACATATGCACATATGTATATATTCCTGATTAATCCTTTCCCTCCAATCCTAGTTGCATCAGGAAATGTTCTTCTGAAATAGGTGGATACATAAGGTCCCAGCTACTTGGATTTTCCTAAAGAAAAAATAGAGAGAATAAATATGAGTACAGGTGGTAACAGCTAGTAAGTGATTTGAGACTAGTGTCTGAATCAAAGTATGATTTCCTAGTCATTCCCAAGTTGATAAAAAGAGGCAATAATTATAATTAGACTTTAGCAATTGTGTGTCAGAACAAACATGGAGCTTGATTGTTTTTTGAGCAGAGGGATAGTCCACCCTGGGTGACAGCAGAACTGAAGATTGTTTTACCACATTAATTATTAACCATGCAGGTTTCACATATTTATCATGTCATACCTTCCTCAACCTCACAAAAATTCAGTGGTCAAAGACCACCTCAAGTGCAGACAAATAACAATGGTTGCATTGCAATAGCATAGCCATTTTTTTTAGCTTTCCTCATCTCTGAAAGATGCTCAAACAGGGTGGTCTTGCCCCCCAACTCACATGTAAATTCACACACATTTCACCTTTTCTACTGTTTCACCCTTTACAGGTCTCCTAAAGTTACTTACTAGGTTTAATTGCCTGGAAAGAGGTAGAAATATCTGGTCATAGACAGTCTTTCAATGGTGGGCATTTGGGCTTTAACTTGGGAGTTTCAAATGCATTCTGAACCTAAAAAAGGCAAAAAGAAGGTTTTGAGGCAGTCATCTTAAGAAAAGATAGAGACAGAAGGAGAAAATTATAGCATAAAAGAAGATGAAATAGCTGAGCTTATCAATATCTATATGAGCCTATGGTCCTTAGAAAGCATAATATCCTACTTTTTTATACAGGGCATCATTTCCCTAGGCCAAAGTCTTCACTTTGCAATTCGTCATCCACTCTCCTGATATTCTGAGCCCTAAACTTAACCGCCAATGATCTTTGAGAACCTGAATCACTAGGATACTAGCCTCAAACAAATGACCATTACTCCTTACAAGAGCCTAACCTCAGAAAAACCAATTCATAGTTGTTCTGATACATGCTCATGACCTGACTTCTAAGGTGGTGACCTTTGAACTTTTTTTTCCCTTGAAGAGTCTGATTCTCAAGCTCTCTCTCTCTTCTGACCCTCTTTCCCAGGTTCTGACCAATGAGATTCTGAATGATTCTCATATGGTGATACCCAATCTCTAACCAGAGTTATCTCTGAAAATTCCAAACTTGGAAATTTATTTACCAGAATTAACTGAAATCATGATACTTTCCAAATCACAAGCATTTTGATGACATTAATTCTAGAATTTAACACAAATCCCCTTGACTTGAGACCTTTATCTTTTTTTACTATCCCTCCTCAAAAAATTATATGCCTCAAAGCCTCTACTCTATTTTTTGCCAACTCTTTTTGGTCTTGGTTCCTACTCCTAAAGATACCTAAGTTTTCCTTTCTTGCACAATTCAATTCAACCAACATTTGTTAAGAAACTACTATGGGTATTTTCATAGGGTCCCATAATACATTAACTAAAATGAAACAATTCCTGCCCTCAAAGAATTTACATTTGACTCATTAGGAGTTGTGTAGGAGATGAAAAAGACGCATAAGTGACTAAATATATAGTGGATACAAAGAAATGAAAATTAATTTCTATTTTGCCAATTATTTTTTTCCATTCAGATCATAAATTCTGTTCTCATAATTCTCCTTTTTCTTTTAAACCACTCAGGAATAGTATGTTATGGTTTCATGTTCTTTGTATGAAAAGGAACTAGGAGGAGGGTGCAAAACATACATTGCCCTGGAAATATGGGCTTTTAGAACTTTTATATGTGGAATAGAGCAATCTGAGTAAATGATTACTAGGTAACCTATATGGTAAAGCCCAGACAAGCATCATCTGACAAATTTAGAATACCTCTGCCCACATAGCAAAAGCATCTAAAAAGATCAAGAGAAGTACGTAGAAAACAAGCATATCCACTATTCATTATTAGGGTTTCTAATTGAGTCTATAATTCAGTTTTGATGATCATGCAATTTTGATACTTCCTTCCAACAAGCTCTCTAAGGACTCTAACCTTTTTCATCATAGCTGCATAATTCTTTCTACTCTCCAATTCATATAACTCCTAACAATTACTTCAGTCCTCTTACCCTTCACAAATATGATGCTTATTCCTACTGTATCCAACAAACATTTATCAGATAGTTATTACATAAAAGGTGCTATGTGATAAACTCTGTGGATATAAAGATGTATTTTAAAAAAACAGTTCCTATCATCAAGAAGTTTACAATCTAATAGGGGGAAAATGTATACATTGGTAAATATATTACAATTTATTACATGATTGGTGAAAGGAAATATCCAGAAAAAATGAAAAAAATATTGGAAAGGAAGAGATCATTTTTCAACTTTGGGGAAAGGGGAAAGGTTCATGGACAAGATGATTCTTGAGCTATGCTTTGAAGGAAAGGAAATATTCCAACTAGCAGATATATTGAAAGTGGGGAGAGGTCATCTGTCTCCTTGTGCTTCTCTTCCTTTTCCTTGGAATGCCCTGTTCCCCTCACTTAGTCAATTTAAAACCTGTTGTCCTTTCATGGTTGGAGTAAAATTTGCTCCTCAGTGAAGCTTTGCTTCACTAAGCATATCTCAAAGTGACATTTTTCTTTGCTATATTACACAACTGATTGTCTGTATCAGATAATCTTGTAGTGGTTTGTACTCTGTCCTATATTGTTTTCTTCCTGGTTTGTAAATACATGTTCAATCCCCTAACATCCTTCATTGGGACTTTACATTAAATAAGGGCAGTTTTTATGTTCCTTTCTGTGCCCAAAGTGGCCAAATAAAGTAGACAAATAAGTGTTAAGTCAATATTTTCAAACAGGTGAACAAATGAATGAAAGACACCAGTTAAACAAGTCTTACCTTTCGGAAAATTTCTTCTATGTGGTAACACCAAGAATACTTTTGGAAAGAATGGATGAGCTCTGTAATGAAGATGGAGCCATTTTCAGTGTCTCTCCAAGAAATATTATCTAAAAAGAAAAGAGATTTTAACTGTCAAGTGCCATAAGCTTCACCTAGACAAAGAGATATTAGGATCTACAACTTAGAGACATCTTAGAGGTGGTTAGGCGTCACAGTGGACAGAGAGCTGAGCCTGAAGTCCAGAAAACCTTAGTTCAAATCCAGCCTCAGACACTTCTAGTTTCATGACCCTGGGCAAGTCATTCCTGCCTCCATTTCCTCAACTGTAAAAAGAGAACAATAATAGTACCTACATCAAAGGACTGTCAAGGGGATTAAATGAGATAATGTTTATAAAAGTAGTTAGCATAGTACCTGGCATACTGTAGTAACTGTATAAATGCTTATTTCCTTCTTCCCCTTTCCCTTCTTCCATTAGGTTTAGGTAGAAGGACATAAAGCAATATCCTTGAATTAGCCCAGTGATTCACAGACAACATATACCAAAACAGACAGAGGTTGTCTGACCCTGTAAAACTGGCCCTATAAGAACGATTCCCATGTTAGGGGAGCCTGGTCAAGATAGGAGAGCTGGATATTGATAAGTTCAAGAGACTTGTGAAACTTAGGAGAGGGAGTGAGATTGTAATGGATGGCACTCTAGCTTTTCCTTGGTAGTGCCAATGTAATATTCTTTTTTTTCTATCACCATTCAGAAAAAATTCACCTGTTCTCTGGTAGTCTCTCTTTAACATTGTCCTATTCTGGTTGCTCTCAAATACTAATCCTGAAATCATCCTAACCAGAAAGCATATTGTTACTGAGTTTTGATTTGTTTATTGCCTGGTCCAATCTCAAGCATTAAAACTAGCAGCTCACAGTGTGTCCTCTGCCTCCCAAAGGCTGGGAACAAAACTGTTTCTTCAATAGTCATGTAATAATAGACTCACTGCAACTAGTCAAGTGTAATATCAATTGTGCCTACCTTGTCACATATCATATACCCTACCTTTAGGAAATACTTTTTTTCTTTACTTTTCATTGTTATACTCATCATCTTGTATAAAACTAACCTACAACTAAACTTTAGGAAATCCTACTTAATAAATCATACTGGACTCCACCATTCCTTCAATCTGTTTACTCTATCCTTACGCACTTGGCAAATACTCTCTTAATTTGTAAATGCTACTACCTAGCTTGGTAAGTGTTTTACTATAATTTCATAAAAGGATCTCCTATCCATAGCTAGGTTGTAGACTCTATGGGTAACAATACAAACATAAAAACATGTATTGTGAAAACATATATGTATGCATGCATTGCATTGTGAATATAATATACAAATATACAAAAATGTGTATGTATACATATAGATACATGTGTATATATGTACACATACAAATACATGTATATTTACTTTAATGTTTATTGAATGATCTATCACTTGAAAAGAAGGCATACAAGAAGGATGTCTGGAGCATTTGATAACTCAGATATGGGTAATATGGCAAGGAAAACATGTGATCAGCAGGAAAGGACTATGGAAACTAGGAGATCTATTTTTTTTGGTTTTTTGTTTTTGGGGGGTTTTTTTGCATTTTCTTAAAATCCTAAGGTTTCCTATCCTGCCCCAAATAAGTTGGATCTGTTGTACAAGGACACTCTAGGCTTAGTGACTTACGTGGAGTTGAGGAGCAGAAAGTAATGAAGTCTTTTTCTAAATGAGCCTTCCGGACAGAGTCATCCTCAAAAACTTGCAGTTGACTTTGACTGTCTTCAGCAATTTCTGGGGCATCACTCACCCACACAGCGCCAGGGTTTACTGAGTAAAAGGAAATTCATTATTTGTACCATCTCCATCTTTTTCACAGTGCTGAAGATGTAAGTTTTTGTTTCTATTTTTATTATCATCATTCCCAAAAACACAACAAGACCCATGAGGAAATTGAGACAATTGATGGCATTAGGACAGCAAGTGGTTAACTCTAGGAATTGTGTGAACCACACTGACTCCATCTTATGACTGAATTCTGGAGCTAGCTCAGTTCCCTTTATATTCAATTATGGGTTTAGTCCAACTTCTGTCTTTTGAGAAAACTTTATTCAATTGTGGGAATTGGGATAAAACCTTATTGCATTGTTTAAATCTAGCCCTTCATTGCTGGAAAGCTGGACCACCTCCACCTGCTGCTTAGAGACACTTAACTAAGGACCTAGGTTATGCTGATCAGAAACCTGATTAGATTCAAAGAATAATGCCAAGAGTTTTCTCACGATTGTACATCCCAAGTAACCCGTATGTCTTATCTGAAAACTAGCCCCATACTGATTAATCAATTATTCTTTTCTTGTTCCTTTAATTGTTCACAGACACTTGGGGGGTAAGACACCTCTTTTTTTCTGAATTCAGGGAGTTGTACCTGTTCACTCTCCCCCCTCCCAACTCTTTCAGCCACTTAGAAATCACATTACCTAATGTTGTATTATTTCCTTTGGGCCTTATTTGATTATTATGTGATTGTTTTTAATGTATAAAAGTCTGCCTCCTCCTATATTCAGGGTTCAGTCCTAAGCTGAGGAAAGGACCTGGTCCTGATTTTTTATGCAATTGTCATGTATTGCTTAATAAATCGATATGTTTGGAAGATCTGTTTCTTCAGTAATTTCATCTTTCACCAGCCACAACATGGACTATCTTTCCCAGTACTTTCTCATAAACTTATAGCTCTTAATTTGGAAGAGACATTAGAGGTCATCTAATTTAACCCTCTTATTTCACAAATAATGAAACTGAGGCCACAGAGAAATTAAGGGGATATCCTACAGTAAGTGGGAGAGCCAATATTTGGATTCAGATCCCCTTTCTACAAATCTATTACTCTTCTGAATACATCACATTACTCTTCCTAAAGGATCATTAAACAGGGTAAACCATATCAATTTTGAGTTTCAGCCTTTCAGAAGTGAAAGTTATTTAGGGCCTAGGAAGAGTAAGACAACTTTTTGATAGCAGATAGATCCTGAGGCACAGAATTCCAGAGTTGGAAGAGACCCCAGTGCTTATCTTGTCCAACCAACATGTGACCAAAACTACCTTCTAAATCATCCAGAAGTGGTAATCTACACTCACCCTCAACATTTACAGCAAAGAAGAAGCCACCTACTCTGCCCCAATTCCATTTTTGTACATCTGTTACTGTTAGGAAAGTTGTGTTTTATTGTGCCACCCCCAAACATCAAGCTTAAAATACTCTTTTCTACCAAGCGTCCCCACTGAAAAAAATATCCTACCAATAGTCTAGATTACTTCCCATAATGATTGTACACTGAGATGAATTTCTAATGAATTATATGTAAAGAATTTGGTACAGTTAATTTCAATTTCACTAAGGATTAAGTCATGGATTGGGTCTTGTCAGCTGTCACCTTAAATAGAAAAAGAAAATAGCACCATTCTCTCTCAGTACAAATAAATTATCTAGATATTAATTAGAGTAATCAAACATAGTACTCACGCCCGCGACAAGCTTGGATTATGATGACCTTGGGTTTGTCTTTCAAATTGATGCAATTCTTAGTGTTTAGAATTTGGAATATGGTATCATAAGCAAGCACATCTGGCTTTTCTGTCTGATGATTTTTCCCACAAATTCTATCCAGAATACCGTGAGACATGAACACAACAAAAGTGCTATCAGATGATTTGTGCTCAGGACGGGCAGCAAACTCTCTCAGAGCTGACTTCATTTCCTAGGAGAAATTAACAAAGTCACTCACCTGCAACATTTAGCAGTAACCTACTAACATAAGGTAATACAATCATGGCCTTTAAAAGGACTCCTAAATCTTGTTACACAAAATGCAGTTTCCATAGATTTTGATTGGATCACACTTATTTCTTCATCTCCTCTTTTGTTTAATTAAACATGTGTGTGTGTATATGTATGCACACATAAAATTCTCTTTACATATAAATGTACATACATGCATATATACAAACACATTTATTGTGTGTAAGGCACTATGTTAGGCAATGCAGATATAAAGATGAAAATGACACAGTTCTTGACTTCAATTTCATCTTCTGTAAAATGAATTCCTGATTAGGTGATATCTAAGGTTCTCTCCAACTCTAAATCTATGACCTTATGTTCTAATGGGAAAACTACTATATGAATACAATGAATGATGATGATACTCATAAAAATAGCAATAAATAGCTAGCAATCTTATAGTGTTTTGTGAAGCACTTCACAAATATTCTTTCATTTTATCCTCACAACAACTCTGCAAGGGAGATGGTTTTTGTTTTTTTTTTTTTTAATCCCCATTTTACAAATGAGAGAGGCAAACAGAGGTTAAGTAACTTGACCAAGTTCACAAAACTATTAAATTTCTAAGGCTGGATTTGAACTCAGATCATCTGATTTCAAGGCCAGTGTTCTTTCCAGTGTCATCTAACCTAGAAGGTAGAATAAAATAACAAAGGAGAGAACCAGTAAAAAGGAGGATATTTTCAGCTTCAGAGGATTTTTCTTTCTTTCTTTAATCTTTCCTTTATTGTTCAGCAGTAATCAATTAAACTTATTTAATTGTATATTTCTACTTCCTAGTAGAAATACCATCAAAACCAGTTTTGAAGCTGAAATGTAGAATTACAAAATATAAAGTTTTAGGAAAGACATGAAACATGACTGACCCCACCCTTTCTCTTTATCACCATGTCGTCTCTGAGTCTACCCATCTTTCCAAATCAGACACATGTACAGCTGTATACAAATTAGTAGGAACCAAGTAAAATGATTAGAGTTAGTGACATGTAATGTTTATAGGCAGTAGGGAAGTAACCAGTAGAGAGGGAGAGATTAAAGAGAAATGAGAAAATGCACATGATAGAGGGGAAATTATGCTAGAGAAAATGGAATGTAATGGTATTGCTTGTACTGGTAGAAGAGGTAAACTTGGCAAGAAGGCCACCAAATTACGTGGGAGAGGGGTGAAGAAGGAAGAAATAATGGCATAAGGCATCCAGGTAATATGAGTTGAGAGGGAAGAGAGAAGGGTGAGCTCTTGAAGAATGACCTCAATTTTTCGGTAAAATTTTAGGCAAGGTTCTCAGCTAAGAGAATTGGAGGAATATGAACCATAGGAGGTTTGAAGAGGGATAAAAAGCTGTGTAAAAGATGCTGTGATGAGGGGGATAGTGAGCTAATTAGAGAGGTGTAAAAGGATTGCCTGTAGCAGTGTGGGCCCATTTCAACTTACATAACATCAATTCATAGTAGACTCAATCATCATGATTTTGTGATTTTCTCTAGCTTTTTTAAGCAATGCATTTAGCAGCACACAGGAGCAAAGGGAACAGAAAGTGGGAGTGATCTGAGATGAGACTTAGCAGGGCAAGATTAGTGAAAGGACAAAGGGGTAAGGAACTCAAAGAGAAGAAAACAGGATAGAGTTAAAGTGGTTCACTAAGAGGGTATGATGCAGAAAGAAGGAGAGTGTAGCTTGGGTATGGGTGATGGCCTGGGAGAGAGGTAGGAGAGTTGAACAAGGAATTGTAGATTACATTGTGGACAAAGAACAGGGTTTTGGGTTGGAAGGCAGAGAGACAGACAGACAGACAGAGACAGAGAGAGACAGAGAGACAGAGACAGAGACAGAGAGAGAGAAAGAAATATAATTACAATACACTATGATCAGATAAGAGAATTTCAGAGTTCATGAACATGGAAATGATGCATTTGTAGATGATGGCAAAATTAAGAGTATGACTATCTTTGTGTGTGAAGGAGATAAAGTTGAGGTTACGTGGGATGAGTAAACTGACGAAATATGAAGTTAAGGAACATCAATACATATGGTAGAGGGCATTCTGGGAAGATGGAAAAGCAGAAATTTCTAAGCTCTCCAGATTTCCTCCACAGACAGACAGAAAATCACCATGAAGTGAACGTAGAGCAGCAAAAATAAAGGGGAATAAAAAATAGAGACAACTTGAGAGGACCTCAGAAAAGACGACCACTTCAGGTGCTGAGGTTTGGCTTAAGTGAAGTCTAGACACCTCCAGGCTCACTCAACTGTATTAACAAACAGTAGGTCCTGAAGGCAGCTCTTTCTGGAAGCAGGCTAGGCCTCAAGAAATTTCACCTCACAAACTTTCGTCTAAGGAACAGCAGAGGGCTGAATGGGGGAAGATTGAAAGACTCCCAACCCACCCACCCATCCATTCCTGTTTCTGGAAGTCAGGCCTGTTGGGGCTATGGCTGTGGACAAGGAGCAACAGCCTCACCAAATGAGCTGGGTACCACAAGGATTAAAAACATTTTCAGGACAGTGCGGATGGAGCCCTAACTGTAGCTTAGAAGAAAAAAGGAGTCCCTGAGCTTGAGCCCCTGGATGGAATTCAGAAAACAAAAGTAAGGAGAACCTGAGGCCTAAAGCAACATTACCTACAACTCAGAGTTAAAAATTAATAGTAATAATATTAAGCTGCTAAAATTAAATAAAACAAAATAAAAATAAAATTAGTAAGCAAGGGAAAAAGAATCTGATCATAGGTAGCTATTTTGGTGTAAAAGAAGATCTGGGTTTATATTCAGAGGAAGTTAGTGAGCTACCTACCCCAAAGAGTAATATCAAATGGTCACATACCTAAACAGAGTTCTTGGAAGAACTTTGAAAGGAATTCAAAAATCAAATAAGAGAGATTGAGGAAAAATTAGAGGGGAGAAAAGCAATACAAAAAAAAGTATGAAAGAAAGTTAACCAGTTGGAAAAAGAGATAAAAAAATCTTAAGGAAGAAAATAACTCCTTAAAAACTAGAATTGGGCAAAACGAATCACATGACATTATAAGACACCAAGAAATAATAAAACTAGAAAAAATAAAAGAGAATCTGAAACATCTCTTTAGAAAAACAACTGATCTGGAAAGCATATCGTAAGGTGTGAAAGGAAGAACTAATACAGAGGAATCAGTATAGGTGCAAGGCTGATAATGCTTAGTCTCATCTGGTTTGAAAAGGAAACAACATCTGGAAGGATGCAGAAGTCTTCTGAACATACAGAGAGGTGAGAAAACTGGGGGACAGGACAGGATAAGGACTTTTACATGGGTAAGTAGATTGGGATTTGGAAGAGTGAGGGGAGAAGATGGAGGAGGGACTTTTGGAGGGGCGTGTGGCTTGGGATTGGGGGAGTAGGAGGAGAAGGTAGGGGCAGGACTCTTGGAGGGGTGAATGGGATAGGGAGTGGGAGAGTCAGGGGAGAAGATAAGGTAACAGGGCTAAAGTAAAAAGAGCCTGTGAAAGAAAAAAAAAGTAAGTAAAAATAAGATGGAAAGAAATTCACAAAGAGTAATTTTAACTTTGAATGTGAATGGGAGGTTTATAGCAGCTCTCTTTTTCATGGCAAAGAACTGGAAATTGTAGGAATCCTACTATGCTATAAGAAATTACGATCTCCTTGATCTTAGAAAGACATGGAAAAACTTGCACAAAATAGTGAAGAGCAAAATAAGCAGAACAAAAAGAACATTGTAAACAATAACTGAAATTCTGTTTTGAGAATTACTTTTGACAACTAAATCATTTTGACTATTACAAATAAACAAATTAAAATAAAAGACATATCAAGAGAGAAACTATCTGTATCCAGAGAAAGAACTGATAAATAGAAGTATATATAGGAAAAAATTTTACATATATAAATATAGATATAGCTATTTGTATCTAATGGTAGTCAGCAGGGCAGGGGAGGAGGGAAGGAAAAAGGAGAAAAAAGAAATTTACATGATAACTTTATGATATATTCAAAAGGAATAGCATGTTGTATATAACTGATTTATAATTTCATATGCAATCATCTTTTTGTTATACTATGTTATGGAAATGCTTGTTTTATTCCATAAATTAAAAATAAAATAGAAGAAATATATATGTAAAGTTTTCTAATATGAGAACAGGAGTTGAGGACAAGAGAAAAATTGCAGACTAAAAATTGAAATCATTGGCAAAAGAAGGAGAGTGTTGTGAAGGTCAGGCTACCAGAATTTTGAATGGATGGTAAATACGGATTTAGTGGCCCTCAAAGAAGGAGATGTTACTAAATGATGGTGGTAAAGGAAAAACCTGAAAATACAATACGGAGTAGGCAGTATTCCAACTCTTACATCTCTATCAGTGAATCTTAAATCTAACTGCTTTTATACTGCCTACAAGCATGCTCATGTTTCCCTCATCCACCAAAAAACTCCACACTTGATCCATTCAACTGCATTAATTATCATCCTATATCTCTCCTACACTTTGTGGCTAAACTCCTAGAGAAGACCATCTAATAGGTGCCTCTGTTGCCTTTCCTCTCAACCTTCTTGACTCTCTAAAGTCTGGCTTCTGATCCCATCAATTCACCTGAAACAGCTGATTCCAAAGTTACTAATTGTTTCTTATTTGTAAAATCAAATGCCTGTTTTTCAAAATTTTCATCCTTGTTGACTTCTCTTCAGTCTTTTACATCCCTGATCACTCTCTTCTTCATATTCTCTTCCCTACAGGTTTTCATGACACTGCACTCTCCTGGTTCTCATCATACCTCTCTGACTACCCGTTCCTTATCTCATTTGCTGGTTTATCATCTAAGTCATTCCCGCTAATCTAAGTGACTCCCAGGTCTTTGTCTTAGACCCTCTTCTCTTCTCCTCTACTATTCCATTTAATGATCTCATCATATCCAATGGATTCAATCAC